ACTCCCGTCATTTGGGATGTAATTAACTATAGGGGCTTGCCTCTATAGGGAACTTGGAACCCAGGTAAAATAAACCCTATTTAATCTTTGTATTAGATAGGGGAATTTGTCAGTCATATATAAAAGGTTCGCAGACTAAACGGATGTCACAAATCTCTTAGTTTGCAGGATTGAGTTATTTAATCTTTGTATTAGATAGGGGAACTTGTCGGTCATATATAAAAGGTTCGCAGACTAAACGGATGTCACAAATCTCTTAGTTTGTAGGATTGAGTCTATCGCCGAGGTCTACACTTATCTGTCGGGAGGGTGTAGTAATCGCGGTATCAGACACGATTATGCAAACTATTGGACGAATGAGATCGACTTGGTCTCATTTTTAAAAAATTAAAACATACTACTTTCAAAACCCAAACTATATATATCTCTTATACTTAAATTAAATCTCAAAAATTATTTTCATATTTTCATATTTTCAAAATCTAAACTAATCAATCAAAAAAAGTTGACTGACAATTTCTGGCGACTCCGCTGGGGACTAGTGCCTCTCTCCATTTTGATCAAGTGGTTTTGTCTTCATACATCGGCAGTGTGTCCATGCCCATCGTGGGCCAGACTGCTGTTCTTCCGTTGACATACTGTGCTTATTTCTTTCTTGAGTCAGTATGATCAACTCTTCTTGCATTTCTGGACCATCTGCTTAACCATCCTTAAGCAGAGGGGTTCAGGAATCCCTAGGGTTTAGTTGGGTGGACCCCCAATAGGTGTGGTAGATTAGGAGTGGTCTATTGAACCGAGTTCGATGCAAAGTTACCCCTTCCAAATCTTGAACCGGGTCCTATGCTTTATTCCTCTTTGAGCTTGACTTGTTGTGAACGAGTTAACACTAAAATTTCACTCTCACAATCTTCCATTTAAACTCCAAGCAAAACGGAATTCCATCAAAATTTCAAAGCAAAACAAAACACATAAGATTCACATGAATAAATTTCAAAGGATACCCAATTCATAAGACAAGTGCGCTAACTTGAGTACTTTCGTTGAAATTACAAGGCATTGGACGTCACTGACTTCCGGAAATTTTTTTCAAATGACAGGGACAATGTCTTCACCAAAGTTGATCTTTTCTTTCGCCACCGGAATAGAGTTTGCTATTAGCAAAAGCGAGCTACCTGACTTGACAGTCATTAAGTTTGGACAAGGATTCGACGATATTGAAGTCAAGTTCGGGAATGTCACTGCCACAATGATGAAGTCTGAAATGGACAAGTCCACCGAGCCTATTGTGGAGTTCAACCTGAAGTCTGCTAAGGAACTCCCCCCTCTGAAAAGAGTATTGATTGAAAAGAATCCTGCTCTTGCTATAAAGTCTGCCGCTAGGAGCGTCGGGACCGCTCCCAGGACTGTTTCTGCTTCTGCAACCGGATTCACTGCTACTACACCAATTGTTCCATTAAATAAAGAGAAGGAGATTCTATACGAAGAAGTGTCAGTCGATGCTTTTGCCCCGCCATTTTCCGTATTCGAGATTGGGTCCAACTCAAAGTCCGTACGACTGACCAAGACACAGGAAATGAGGCACAACCAGAAAATTCTAAGGACTGAGAAGGCAAAAGCCACAAAATTGGCTACTACTGACACCGACCTCCGACTGGATGAGACAGGATTACGTGAGACTTTACCTCTACTCATGGGGAGTAAGTTTCATCAGTTGCCTGCTACCTACGGAGAGGATGGAGTCTATGGGGTTGCTACCACTGTACCGTCGTCATCTCTCCATAATAGAAATCTGAGAAAGTAACAACGGTGGATAATCAAAGCCAGTGATGACATTTAAAGAGAAATCTGAGAGAGCAACAACGGTGGATAAAGACAAGCAGTTAGTACAGATTCAGGTCGAACAGCCTCAACAAATCAACCAACAATATCTGCAGAAGTACGATCTACAACATAGCCAACAATACAACCAACAACACGGTCAACATTCATCCCAGCATAGGCCATGCCAGATGGATGAAATACAGGGTCCATTTGTGGCTAAGCAATTGAACAAAATATATTCTTTCAGAAAAGAAGTTGTTGCAAAGATGTTTCAGGACTTGATTAAAAATCCTAAATTCAGATTACGAGAGCCAAAGAGGCCGGAGGAAGTTGACAAGAAAGACCATCCCAACTATTGTCCGTACCACAGACTGCTCGGACATACTATAGAGAACTGTATCAGCTTCAAAGAATGGCTCGAGAAGAATTTCAAAAACGGGAAGATAACGATCCCGAAAGAGTAT